TATATATATATATATCAACCTCATGGTGGCAGTATTAATTAAATATTTTTTCCCTTGTTTTCAGACATGTCGTGCAGGGCTAGACTTGCGACTCTAAATGAAAAGTTGACTGATCTGGAGAGAAGGATAGAGTACTTGGAAGCTAGGGTATAATTATATCATAATTACATTGTCGATAACGCAAAGAAAAGTTGCACGATTCCAGTTTTCAGCCACACACATCTGACCAACTGTTTCTTATTTAAACATTTAAAAGAAGGATTGCAATATCCTGTGTGTCACTATTATAGATTATTATATTTTAGATTGTGCATGTATTTATTCTAAACAGAAAGAATTTATCCTTATCCTTTACACTTGCTAGTGCTAGTAGCTGTTAATCTAAAATGTCAAAAATTAAAATTAAAAGGCAACTTCGTCAGATGGCAGCACTAGTCTTACAGTTTTCGTGATATGCTCTGTGTCAGTGATGTGTAAAAATGTGATGGACCAATATTCCCCTTAAAGGAATTATGTATCTACAATAGTCCTATTAAATCGTATGAATAATTTTCTCTTTGTAGGTAACAAAAGGGGAGACACTCACGTAGGCAAGGCAGAAGCCTTTTCCAATGCTATTTGGCAGCTAGCTGTTAATGGCAGAGTGATCCAGCAATGACTCTACTTCCTGCATTGAATCTGTGCAATAGCCTACACTTTACTTATACAAATGCTTTGTTATTACATTGGTTCGATTTTATCGTACATATAGCATCTATGTAAAATTAAGGTGATAAAGTTCTCTAGCAGTAAGAAGTGAGGGTGGTGATTTAAAGATTGATGTGTATGAAGTAATACATTGAATCAAGATGTGAATTTGCAAAGAGTCTTGTATATGCGCATATAAATACATGTATATTCACGTGTGTGCATACGTACGACTGCGCGTACATGTACGTGCATGCGTGCGTGTTTGTGTTTAACTTGTACGTAGAGTATCAGTTGCCTTACAGAAAGTCTCGTAGTATACTATGCAGCAGCTGAGAGTATATGCGGTTGATTACAGGAATGTTCGGGATCTCTGCTCCGATTCACTGCAGTTGTTTCCAGAGATGTCAGGACACGCCAGTGCTTTCACATTACAGTCTAGAAATTGCAGAGAATAGGTAACCTATTATGGGAAAAAAACAATATAGTGAATCTGTATATGTATATTGAATAGATTTTATACCTCTTCTTTGAACATAATAGTTAATGGACGGTTTTGTATATAATAATACTGTCGTAAGTTTGTTTGAAACTGGATATGCTGTAAAATCGTATTCGTGCTAATTGTGTATCATTGCAAACACAATTGACGTGCTGACATATATACAGAATAATATGAATACCACTTTTTTATATAAATGTGTATACAAACTTTCCGGGTGCATGTATTTATTATTCATGATACAGCCCCAACCATAATAAGTGAAGGATATTGCCAAAGGTTTTTCTAAAGGTTTTGCATAATGGTATAGTAATTTGCCACATTACAGAAGTAATGCATTCCAGAAGAAACGTTTGTGACGTGAAATACCCTAACGTGGATTGTATCCATAATTCATAATTATAATTTCATAATTATTTCATAATTAGAGATGCATTACTGTGGAGAATTTTTGGCCAAATGAAGTTCGTAATTCCAAAATATATATTGCAAAATAAAATTATAAAATGCAAGTAAACATTGTTAAAAAGCATGTATATATTGATTCTTTAATGATGTAACATAGTAACGTGACAATACTGTGAAAGAGCGTTACAAATAAAAATGTGTACCCACTGGATGCAGCACACTGATTGTAGGAACACTTTCCACATACTCAGGTGTTTCCTCACAGAGTGGGCTGGGGAAGCTGTGTAAGAGGGTTACAGCACATTTCGTAGACGTGGGTGCATACGTTAATTTCGCTGTTTGTTTTGCCCAATAAGAGTTCGTACGTAGATACTATGTCTACGGCCAGCTACTATCATCATCTGTAGAAGAGTAAATCGTCTAAATCATTACTAGTCGCGTGGCGGCCCCTAGCGGTGATTTCACGCAACGTTGATAAGCCTTCAACATGCAGCTACAATGACGTTACTAATGCAGGCTATGCGTAATGGTGCAAGCCCATAACTTCATAAGTACGGTTATCCAAACTTGTAATTATAATAGTGAATTATGGTAGTAGACTATAAAGAAGATAATATGACTCTTGCACTTACGTCATGGTTAATCAAATGTGCACGAGATCTCAAGAGTACATTACACTTGGGAGGTTTTTATGTTGATTTCAAGATTATTCTTATGTAGGCCTAATCACGTTTGCAAAACACTAATTTAATTATTAACTTTCAGTGGTTTTACGTGCATTTTTTCTGGAGCAGTGCACATGCTGTACTTGCACGCGAACAACAAAACCAAAAAAAAACTAAACAGCAATTCGAATGCAAGAAATCTTTATTAAAAATTGCGGCACACTGGCCCAATTCCCCCAAAACCTTTCTGCACTGTTACTAGGGAGATATAAATGCGTTGTGGGACCTGACAGATATTTTTTTTACAACCGAACAAATCACTTTTTATGATGCGTGGCACCACAACACGCACGCACGCACACACACGCACACTACAGCGTAACTTCACAAGATCATGTTACTATCTATATTCCGGCGAGCCTAGTGACATACCAAGGTCGGATCTAACCATCTCTACACGTAGGCGAAGGAGGGGGACACAAAGTTTTGGCAATTATTAGAGCAAGGGGGACATGTTATAACTGCCTCCTAAATATTACAGGAGTTGCTGTTTTGCACTCTGCCACAGTCTCGATCATCACGAACTTTCTACCGTGGAAAATTCCGATTACGATTTACAAAATACCAAAGTATACCCACACGAGTGACGTTTCCCCTCCCCCACCGCACCACACCCTGACCAAGATACACACAGACACCCCGAAATTCATCTCTGCATATTTAGTTTGGGGCAACGGAACAAGATTATATACGGACCTGTGAGTGAAATCCACTTGCCAGCGATAACCGTGGCCCAGGCCAGCGACGGTACAACAAACATCTTTCGTTTTTACCGCTGTTCGAACACAGATAAAGATGTGCCAGCTACATATCACCAGAAGTAGATAATAGGGAAATTCCCTATTATCTACTTCTGATATCACATAGCAGCCGAAACACGCACGCGCACACACACATACATACCCAAGCGCACACACACATACACAGAAATACAGATGCACGCGCACACACACTCACACACATACACGAACGCACGCACGCCCACACGCACACAGACATACACAGGCACGCACACGCATGCACGCACGCGCACGCGCTCACGCACGCCCACACGCACACAGACATTTACGCAAATACACACGCACGCACACGCACGTACGCACGCACACGCACGTACGCACGCACACGGCCACACCTACAAGCAGCCAGGGGCTCGCACCTACCCCCACCTCCAGCACGAGCTCCATCCGCGGACCTGGATAATTTCACCCACGAGGCAAAATCTCGACAGCCGCTCGGCCTCGCCTAGCAAGAAAGCATACACACATACACATGAGCACGCGACATACGCACATGACATACACACGCATGAGCATACACACGCATGAGCATACACACAACGCCGCAGGTGTGCAAAATATTCGCAGAATAAGCTGAGATCTGTTCGCCGGCAGGCAGGCGATCCGATCTCGAAGAACTAAGAACGTTCGTCTGCTTAAATGCCGCCCCCCCCCCACCGCCTTCCGCGTGGCAGTCAGTCCATCGATCCATGAGTTACACCGCAGTAAGCAACGACAGCTTCTTGTTAGCAGGGAGTGAATAATGAATGATATTAAAGAGTACGGAGGAATAACGCCGCTACCCATCTGAAATGCGCATCGGGGTAAAGAATGCAGGGCCCTCACCCACCGTGATCAGGGGGGGGGGGAGTGCAGCGGTGCTTTCGAGCGATCCGGGCAGGGGTGTCGGCGTGAGGGGGGGATTGTCACGACGTGCCACGCCCCAGAGAAAGTAGCGAGCGTTCTGGAGAAATCGCACGCATACATGCACGCACGGACGTACGGACGCACGCACACGCACGCACGCACGCACGCACACACACACACTACATCACAGTGTCACACCACGCGTCTGCTACGACACAGCGCCGAAGTCCGATCAACACATTATACAGAAAACGAAACTCTTCAGCGTAATACATAAACGAAAAACAATGCAGTTCACAACCGATGCGCGACATTTTGCCGACAACGTTCAGAGACGAGGCTCCCCGTCACTCGAACGAACGCTCCGTTGTTTCCGCCGAGCGTACGAATCGTCCTGCCATCTGGTGGTCACCGTCGAACATAACCTACTACACAAACATACAAAACGTCGCACAAAGTAGATCCACATATAAGACCTGTGCACGCCACTATTATTAGCTCACAACTCGCGAGTGTGTGGGGAAGGGGGGAAGGCAGGGCTCGAGGACATATTTTTTCGAACCCGTTCCGCGCTCGCTCTCTCTCTCTCTCTCTCTCTCTGCGGTCGCCACTGCTGGTGGCTACGCGCGCCGTCCGAGCGTAAGCCTCGGGGGCTTCCTCTGGTGGTTCGGCGAGTCCTCTCCGGCCGCCTGCCAGAGCGGCATTGAAGGCCAACCTCCTGCAATACAGGCGCAGGAGATGAAACTACGCTCACTCGTGGTGTGATCCTCACACCTGCTTTTTAAACCAAACGCTCTCACAGCCGATGCACGTACATCAAGAGTACACAATACTATAATAAATAGAGATGTGATAATAGAGATAATCTCTATTATGTACTCTTGATGTACATGTACGTGTCACAGCTGGTTAGAGTCGCAGCTTGTTCGCCCCCTGACACCAATCCCACCTGATCTGTACATGGCTTAAAATACCGCAACGCAGCCGTACAAGGTACACAGGTCACAGGCGCACGCATACATACACGCACAGCCCGATTCTATAAATAGACTGCTCACTCACAGCTGTGTACTGATACTGTGTACTGACAGATATACGCGTCCTGTAGCCTGCCTGCCTACCCACATCTAGAGCTACCCACATCCATTCAGCGTGTACGTGTCATCAGTACAGTTGCTTCACCCTCCTGTGGTGCGTGAGCGTAAATCTATTACCACCTCCCACACACTATCATCACGCCAGCACACTTGCTACCACGGCACTTGGACAAGCTCCAAGAAACGATCCTGTACTATATCCCGCCGCGTTGCACAGACGTTAAGTTTCACAGTCGCGTGGGCATTCGCTAAATCCCTGCACATAGACCCACGATACGATATGAGCCCACTCCCACATATAAAAGGCCACGATTTTGAAGCCTGCAATAACGCAAGCCAGTGACGTGCACAGACTTTCAGAAGGGCAGGGGCTCAGTTGAAAAAAGGGCCCTCCTCTACCCTCGCAATTAGCCACCGTATCTGTGGCAGATTGGCAATATTCTAGGTCCTTGGCCAACTTCTGTACAGATGAGTCACCCTCATAAATGAAAATATTCCGCATCCAAACAAAACTTGCAGTTTGCACTTCATGCGATCAGGCAATGACAAACGGGGGACCGTATACGAATCAGTGAAAACCGCTAAGTATCACAACGGAAAATATGAAAACGGTTGGTAAAAAAACACGAGATATCCTCGCTTTGATGGGTCGGGTTGATGCTAGCCGACTACAGTTTTTCCTCCCTGCTTTATCACGACTCCCCGCTCAGTGCTCGCACGCTCCCGAATGCTGAAGCCGTGTCTATTACGACAGTGATGGCTACCTCACCAGTAGCTCTAGGACTATAGCCCGCGTACAGTTGCCGCAGGCGACAAGTTGCGCAGTTGCCTCAGGTGCCTGCGGCAACTGTACGCGGGCTATAGTCCTAGAGCTACCTCACAGTAGCGTGGGGCACAGCAACATGCGCCCTCCATCCCCCGTGCTGACACACACTACCCTCTCACAGGGGTAGAAATAAGGAGAAAAAAGAGATGGTCCACAGGACCATCTAGTTTGAAATTTAGATGGTCCTCCTAAATTTTAGATGGTCCTCCTAAATTTGAAATTGTTCTCTAAAAGTAATGCGGCGTGCAAGCGTAAGAAAGAGATTTTACATGGTGATAAAATGGTTTAATTATTCACCTACAGTAACAATGAATGTATCAAACGATACAGTAATTGTTTATTCACTTTAATAGTATATTGGAACGCGGAAACTTCAAAGGAAATTTATTTACCGTAAAATGAGACCAAAATATTCAATGGTCCTCCTGATTATTTGATGGCCCCGGACCATCGGACCACCGGACCATCGCTTATTTCGACCCCTGCTCTCCACACTCCCATCCTCCCCATTCTCCCTCACTCGACAACTCAAAAGACTGGTCATCACGAAACTCTGGAAGCACGACGTAACCTGTTAGGGAAAGAAAATTACATGAAGCTGCAGTCACCACCACCACCACCACCATCACCACTATCATCACCACCGCCACAATAGGGCCGTGATTACCTTTCGTTCTTGCTGGCCCAAACACAGGTCTGCCTCGACCCTACAGTGACAGGCCACTTGCGGGGACTGAATCGCACCGCTGTGGCACAAACAGGCAACGCTAGGTGGCGCAGGCGTCACCACGCCCCGGGCTCGTCTGCCCGAGCGTAGATAGTGGTGGTTTCGGGTGTAACCAGTGGTGGTTTCCTACCTGCGGATGTTAAAATTTGTGGCATTAAACGCGTCGATAAGTTGACGACAACTGCCAAACGCATCAAGTCAATACAGGTTCTTATGATGACGGCAAAAAAGGAATTCACTTTATTTATACAATGTGCATGTACAAGATTTCTTTTAGTTTGCAATAACAAGATTGGTAATAGCCTGCAGGGGTCGACACTAACGCTAGTCCGTTAGTCCTATATATAAGAGCTATATATATATAACTCATTGCCATCAACAAGTTTTCCCTGTTTAATAGAAGCGCTAGTACAAGTAGACGCTAGCACGCTGTAAGCACGCTAGACCCTATGACAGTACAAACATTGTTAAAAAAACAATGGGGCCACAAACCAGTCTACCAATCGATTGCGTGACAGTAGCTGTCGACATAGAACAAACGGTCTGATTGTATAAATGACACAACTAATCAGTTTATACGCTCTCATAGCGAGGTATTTACATCGCAACCACACCGCATGCGTGTTTTACTTGAAGCTGTCGATACAAATAGTTATCTATAGTAGTGATACAAGTAGTGAAGCATAGTACAGGGTTTCTTCTGAGGGAAAATTAGACAAAGGAGGTAATGGCCAGTTTAGGAAAAAAAAATTGCATGATGGATTCAAATACAGGATGTATTGATATACTTATAGGTATATAGATACAGGATATACTTATCAGTAAATACAGAAACATTTTCACAACGGCGATGTTAAATTTGACAACGGCGGTGCGCCACTATGCCTCTTATGTATAAGAAACTCTGTAGTAGTAGGTACATCCTTATCCAATACTAACATCAAGGTTGTTATGTGAAAGTATTTGGACGGAGCTCGTCCTCCACCTCCCAAACGTAAGTCGCAGGAAGAGAAATTAGATGGCTCTGTGCCTTCGGCAGGACTAGTAGAATCTTGGAAAGACTAGTACATTTTTTCTTTTACTAGTCCTGTGGACTAATGAACTAAAATGGTTAGTATCTAACCCTGATAGGTGATGGAAAAAAGTTTTGCTGCGTTACATGTGATCTCACTTGTGACATCTATTTTCATATGAATTTTTAAATTATATAAGGATTATTCCATCTTGAACGTTTACCTAACATCATATATAAACGAAAACCCTCCGATACAAAAAAAGATGGATATATTAGGAGACACTATAAACAAATGCTATACTACCGACATTTCTGCAAAAAAAGAATACACACCGTGCAACAACTTGTAGAATTTCACACTGGCGCAAAATCCACCAGCATTGCGATTTAACGCAGAATAATTAACAACTAGCGATTATTTATCGGACTGTTAGCATGAACTGTAGTAGTAGTACTTAGTACCGGCGCTGCAGATGCATCACTGTGTCAGCGCCAACGTGCAATCACAACGGTCGGACCTCGATCTTTCTCGCCTCCTCGAGTAGACGATTCTCCTCTTTCAGAATAGAGTTTTTCCGCTTCAGCTTCCTGTACTCGTTCAGCAACTCGCCGATTACGTCATCGACCTGTCGATCGCGCGTCGACGACTTCAGTGCGCTCGCACAGTTCGACAGGTTGTTGCACTGTTCCTCGAGCATGAGAATCTGCCGCACCAGGTTGTCGCGGCTGAGGTCGGACAGCCGCGCCTCCGCGACGCTCGCGTACTCGTTCTCAAAGTCTCGCTGGAGGAAGTCCACTGTGTCGATGTTGTCGGGCGAGTCGTACTCGTAGTTGAAGTCGCTGCCGGTTGGACTTCCCGCTAGGGGGCTCTGCATCTTCGGCGAGACAAAGCCGTTTTCGTGCTGCGGCGTTTCGAAGCTGCGATAGAGTCCGCAGTTACTCACATCTTGGTCGTCGATGAGAAACTGCGTTGAATTCATCGGCGCCATCGGTGGCACAGGCCTAACTTGCTGTTGTAAAGGTCGTCGTCGTCTTCTTTTTCTCGTGACAGCGGGCGTTTGACAATCGCCCTGTAGTTCGACAGCGGCTGCAGGTAACATTTCCCCTAATTGCGAGCATGAGACAAAATTATCGCTGTCACTTGGATCGCCGCTCTCATCGCGTTTTCTATCAAAATTTTTATTTTTCCTACCTCCTGCTGCCTTGCCCCGCCGATGCTTTCGCTTTTTCGATGCAGGCTCTTCTGTGTCTTCACTTGGTCGAGAGTCTTGACCGTTATCGCAATCTGACATGTCGGATTTAATATCTATGTCGGTTATCGTCAACGATGAAATGTTTTCCGATTCATTCATTTTTGCCTCTTCAATATCCGCACGACCTTCCTTCGACAAATCAGTCATTCTACTGACAAAATGCACGTCAGTTTCTCCACGGTCCGTACCTCCAACTGGAAACATGCTTATATAAATTTACGAGATAGCTTTTCTCTTTTTGCTTCGTCTGCTTCCCTGATACTTGATCGATCAACGACAAGGGAACGTAAAAGCACCCTTCTTATCAAAGCTCAACGTAGAACTGTCGTGACTCGTAACTCGAAGATGAACAACAAGGTGTATCACGTGTCTATGACGCCACAGTTGGACTCTGGTTGGACTTGTTTACTTTTTCATAAAGAGAAGGTAAATTTGCACCTAGTCACAGTATTGGCAATTATACAAATAAAATTATGCAAATAAACGTTGTTAATATATGTTAAGAGAATCAGATCTTAGCTTTTGCAAAATTTTTGACGTAATTCCTGGCAATTTAAAAATAAAAATGCTCCTCATCGCTCACCCGCCCCTCTGCCCGCCCCATGCGAAAATAGCAGCGTCCACATTACGAATAGAACCAAAGACAACTATACACCTTTCCCGCTAGGTAAAGCTAGCGATCTTAAATAGTATACTCAACAAAAATATAATAAAATATATTTAATACTAAACGAAGAAATCTTTCTAAATTTGTTTGATTTAAAACAGAAAATTTTACATTGCGCAATCATTCGGCAAACTTCGGCCGGATCCCAAACGTCTTTATTACCCCGATTAGTAACATAACTTACCAGTAGATGGCGGTATCATACCACAGGAGAGGAGGATGCTCCGTAATGTTTGACACTAAACTCTAAAGTGTATCGGCGTGGCCAAAAAATTATTAAAAATACTTAGACCGTATGCACGATAAATTTACCCACGCTAAATTATTATCGATTGATAGATCTAGCCTACTGTACTGTCATGTCCTCTTCTACAGGCCGAGCTCTACCGCCTGTGAGACCTATTGCTCACGAGGCTTTTGCTTATCTGGTTATTGTATATGATGGATAATTGCCTAAATAAACAAATAAAAATAAAAAATAAAAATACCCAAAAACTACGTCGTCTACAGTATTCTAATTCTGCACGAGAAAATTATTCTGGTGTTTCTGTAACGACTGTGACAGGTCAGGTCCCGCGAGTTACGTGTTAGACATTAGTAGTTAGATTTCGTGAATTTGCTTATAACGCAGCCCACGTTATAAGTATTATGGACTTTACGTTACACGCACAACTACTGCTCGGTTGTAGATACCTGTTAAAATTATTATTATTATTATTATTATTATTATTTAATCTTTATTGCATGTAATTCAAATACAAATATATGTACATGTATGGGGATCAAAAATAAGGGAACCAATAACTTGGGCTGGGGTAAGGCTAAAAATTGGAGAAAATATATGTTATGACAAAGCAATTCTTGCAAATAATTTTAATAAGTATTTCACAAGTGTGGCCTGTAGAGTTTAGGATAATGCAACTGAAGGTCAATAACTAAAGGGTTTTTAAAATATTACGTAATCTCGGCCCATAGTATATGACAGAAGCTTAAGGTTTCATGTTAACGTCAGAAGTCCATAGTTTCAATACAAGGAAAGGTGAGATGTCTATTTTTAAACCGAGGGAGGGAAACAGTGGGAAAAACTATTTTACTTATACTGCAATTGAAGCTTGGAACTCTCTACCATAGCAAGTTAGGACAAATTCAGTTTATTCTAGTTTTAAGTATAGTGTTAAGAAATGTCTGACGAAAAAGGTAAAAACTTTAGAGGCAGAGGAGTATGATTTTTGCTAAAAGAATTCGGTTGAAATTAGGCATAAGAAAAGTTTGTATCGTCTTATGAGAATGTACCATTGTATGACCGGTTAAAACTACAAATTTGTATATTTCAATAGTTAGTGCTTGATAGTAGTGTAATTGTTAGATTCAATGCATAGCAAAACAAGGACCACAATGTAAATAAGTGTGCTAGTCATTCTTTTTGTGTATATATCTTTGATAGTTATCCAATTTTATGAATTCAGAATTTTATTATAAAAGTATGCTATGTATTGTATATGATGGATAATTGCCTAAATAACTAAATTTAAAAAAATGTACATAACGGTTTTATACACATGTGGTTAACTTGTTTTATTGTTTATTGTACTATTTAAAATATTTTAATGTCGGTGTAACACGGGGAAGGGAAGAGTGGGGTTACTTTAGTTTCCACACGCCATTCAGAATCGCCAATAAGAAATGCAGCAGCCGATTATCGTGTTTATATATTTTTATTAATACTATTACGTCCCTCATTTGAAACAAATCTTGTAACAGAGATGTAGGATAATCACCAACGACTTTTGAGTAGCCGGCGCCAATATACAAAAAGCATTCCACATATTTATTTCTATAGAAGTACGTGTACCACGCACGAACACCGAAGCTATTTGCATAGGCGGCACATTACTGGGAGAAAATGATCCTACAATACATCAGGAATAAATAATGACAAAAACGTTTGGGAACAATCAACGATTTGTGATTATTTACTCCTGATTACATGGATAAGAAATGTCGAGTGAGAGTCAACTACACATTCGTGAGAACACCGCGCGTATGATGTAACGGGTATGACATAAACATGGCGGTTGCTATAGTAACCACCGTCGTCTTTGATTTTCTGACTCACGCGTACTAAACATAATACAGTTATTGTAAGATATCCGTACTACATATATATTATTACATCATTATTGTGCTACATATAATATGATTAGTGTATGATATCCGTCATGTGGGTTTATGCAACATCTCATGGCTACAGGCAACGACAGAGAAAGTGCGTACTGGCTGTTGAAGTGTCGCTGTTTAATCTCACAACATCACAAACGTGATTCTAATCTCAGACTGATACGTGAGCAATCGCGCGCACGCAGACACACACGTGCACGGACGCACGTAGGCACGTACGCGCGTGCGCACACACACACACACACACTCGCACGCACGCTCGCGCACGCACGCACGCACACACACACACACACACACACACACATAGACAGAAATTCACACATCAGTATCGTTCTGATCGCATGATCGAAGGTCTTAACCACGTGTACGCCTCCAAGTCACTAACGCGTTACAAGTTACCTAGCGTACAACACTGGCCAATTTTTTACTCCCTAAACCCATCCTGCAAACGACCACATCAACGATAAGAATCGCACGCCATCACTGCCTACACGCACGTAACCATACGCTCCCGCCTCGACAGCTCTCTCCTAGAAATCCTTAACCCCTTCTCACGGTTTCGCCTTCTCCGGTTTCTCCTTCTCCGGTTTCTCCTTCTCCGGTTTCTCCTTCTCCGGTTTCTCCTTCTCCGGTTTCTCCCTCGCTCACTGACGGTCAGGCCCAGCCGACATGCTCGCGGATGAAGTCGTGGTGGTAGCGGCTGAGCTTTGTATAGAAGCCATACTTGCCCCGGCGCGCGCATCCCTCGCCCCAGCTGACGAGTCCGACGAGGTACCAGCGGCCCGAGTGCTTCATGACGAACGGTCCGCCGCTGTCACCTTTACACGGGTCGCCGATCACCTGCGCGTGCGGGAGCAAAGAGTTAAGAGGTAGAGGAAAGAGATAGGATGGTGGTCGGGAGAAGGTGTAGTATGTTAGCGTGGGGATAGTTGTGCTCTATATATCTATATAGAGATCTCTCTCACGCTCTCTCTCTCTCTCTCTCTCTCTCTCTCTCTCTCTCTCTCTCTCTCTCTCGCGCGCGTGCGCTCCCGTCGCTCTTCTCTCCTCGCTCTCTCTTCGCTCGCGTCGCTCTCGGATGCCTCGCCTGCTCCTCTCTCTCCTTCCTCGTCTCTCTCTCTCTCTCTCTTTCTCTCGTGCTCGTCGTCTTCTCGTCTCTCCTCTCTCTCTCCTCTCCTCGCTCTCGTGCGTCTCTCGCAGCGCTCTCTCTCTCGCGCTGTTCCAACAATCTCTTCTGCGGCTCGTCTGCGGTGGCTGAGTCTTTCTCCTCGCAGAACTCTTTCCCTCTCGGTGCTCTGCGCCGTCGCCTCTTTCCTCTCCTCCCCTCTCCTATGTGCCTCGTCTCGGTCTCTCTCTCCTCTACCATCATTCTCTCTCTGTCGTCTTCTTCTCTGGTCGCTGCCTCTCATCCTCCCGTCCCCCGCCGACGTCTTTCAGCTCTTGCCTGTCGACCCCTCTCCCATCGTCCGGTCATCTGCTCCCTCCTCTCCCTGCTCCGGTCCATACTCTCCCTCGCTCGTAGCCGGTCTCTCCAGTGTATCCTCTCTCCTCCTCCTCTACCTTTCTTTCTCCCTCTCTCTGCTCTCTGCCCTGCTCTCTTACACCTCTCTCAGAACTTCTCTCTAACTAACCATACTACTCTCCTCACGTCTCCGCCCGCCCACCTCCCCTCTCTCTATCGGGGTGCTTCTACCGCTCTCTCGTACCTCCCCTCTATCTAACCTCTCTCTCTCCTCTCGCTACCTCTCTCTCCTACCTCCTTCTCCTCTCTGCCTTTATCTCTCTCTAACCTGTCCTCTACCTCTTCTCCCCGCGTCTCATAAACGCTCTCTCCGTCACCTCTCTCCTAACCCTCTCTCTACCCTCTCTCTAGCCTCTCTCACTTTCTCTACCTCTCTCCCTCTCTCTCTCGCCGCATCTCTCTCATTCTCTCTCTCCTCTCTCGTCCTCCGTCTCCCCTGCGTCTCTTCACTATCTCTCTCATAACGCTGCTCTGCTCTCTCTTCTCTCTCTACCCTCTCTTGCCTCTCTCTCTCTCTGATCTGACCTCTCCGACGTCTCTCTTACCTCTCCCCGCTCTGAATCTCTCTCTCTTCTCTCTCTCTGGCTCTGGCACGGTCTCTCTCCCGGATTGGACTCTCTGCGGCTCGTCATCTCCTGCGCGCATCTCTCCGCTCTCGCCTCACTTTCTCCTCTCCTTCTTGGTCACCTGCTCTCCGCCCTCCTCTTCTCTCTCCTCGTTCTCTCTCCTCGAGACTCTCTCTGATCGCTCTCTCTCGTCTCTCGTCCAAGCCTCTCTCCCTTTCTCCCGATCCCATCTCTCTCGTCTTCTTCTCGTTCTCTCTCGTCTCCGTCAGCTTTTTCTCCCTCTCCATCTTCCTAGCCGCGGGTCCCCGCCTCTCGTCTCCTCTCTATCTCTCTCTCATAATTACCTTTCCCGCATTCTGCGCCTCCCTCGTCTTGTCTCTCTCTCGGCTCTCGTCCCTTCGCCACTCTATCTATATCCCTCTCCCCTCGATGCCCGGCTCCCCAGGCGCATGGTCAGGCGGCACCGGCTCTCTTTCTCTCTCTCGTCTCTCTCTCATTACCTGAGTGTGGATATCCGGCGGCAGAACTGTTCCGTGTGACAGGGACGCCTAGTGACGCCTCACACTCGGCTGCGCGAGCCGAGAGGCATGACAAAATAGGTAGCTGGGTTGGTACACCCTTCCTCCGACAGTCGTCGCGCAGGCGCCGTCCCACGCCCAGCCCGCGCGCGCCGCCGAAAAAATACCTGCCGAGAGGTAAGCGGAGAAGGCATAGCGCGCGAATGAAACGATGTTTCGCTATATAAATAACCCTGTAAGATGTGCCCTGTGAGCAAGGGGGTGCGCGGAGAGGGCAGGGGCGGGTGAATAGATATTACCAATGTGAGGAGGACGGGCTCGTCCAGCGATGTTAGAGGGAATAATTGTTAAGTGTTGCGTGCTCGAAATGCCGCAAACGATGTTTCCAATTATATAATAATATAGTTACGTAAATAGTTATCAAGCATTAGAACAACAGCCCCGCCCACGTTACGCGTCTATAGCTCCATCTCTCTTTCGCGCCACTCGCTGCCTCCTCTCGCGTCCTTCCTCCTCCACGGTCCCTCTCCGCGACCCCTCCCTCTCCGCCGCATCCGTCTCCCGCCTCCGGGTCTTCTTCCTCTCTTTGCCTTTCTCCCTCTCGCCCCTCTTCTCGCTCCATCCCCCCCTCCCTCTACTCGCGCGCGCCTCCTCACGCTCTGCGCTCCCGCCTCTCTCCCCTCCAACCCTACCACTGTTGGAGAAACTTTTCCGAGGCGGCATGACGTCGATACGTGGTTCGTGTGCATGAGGCTACGAAGCGCGGCAGAGCGAGCAGTGCCACGATGTCGTTGTGCGTAGGTCTTGCACTGGCACGCCGCGGTGCATAACATCTCCGCCGGACGCTGTGACCACCTCGCTGAGGCCTCAAGCCGGGCTGCGTGGCATGCTTGACCGAACTGCTGAGAGAGAGGGGGAGAGAAACTGTGAGAGAGAAGGGGTGAGAAACTGTGAGACAGGGGAGAGAAACTGTGAGAGAGAGGGTCAGAGAGAGAGAGCGTGGAGGTCGGGCTCACAGGTCAGCAATGAGTACGCGGGGAAAATAAGCGGTCAGCCACGATGCAAAGGGGAGAAAGAAAGGAGAGAGAGAGAGAGAGAGAGAGAGAAAGAGAGACAGACAGACTGATTGACGGACAGACAGACAGATGGATGGAAACAGAGATAGTGTAACACACGCACACGCACACACGCACACACGCACCCCACACACACACCATATCCACACATAGCCTCTTTAACTTCGTCATCAGCCAACAGATGGCGCTACGCGTACCTTAAGCTTGAGGTTATCTGGGCTCAGCTCGCGGCCCGTGTGATTCCAGTACTCGACGAAGCAGTGAGCTGCCGTAACGACCCACTCGCTGTCGATGAGGCTTCCTGCACAGAACGGTCCCAGCTCGGATGTCCATAGCATAACAGTCCACGGAGACGAGCCCTCGTCCGCCGTCTGCCCTCCGACGATCTTCCCGAGCCTCAGCGACGTGAGCGCCCCCAGCGGCTCGGAGAGGACGGGTCTTCCGCAGACTGTGGTGCGAGAGTTAGATGAAGTAGTGCTGGGTCGGTGGGTGGTTGGGGGAGCAATGAGGGGAATGGTCGCACGCACACACATACACGCACGCATGCGCGCAATCTCACACGCACGCAGGTACACGCGCAGGCACGTACGCACATCATATTAGGAACCCATTACTAGTTCAATTTCGACGAGTTTTTTTAGGCTGTTTATTTCATTCTTCTATGACCGTGGTTGCGCACGCACGCGCACGCGCATGCACACGTCTTACCGTAGTCCATGGCCGCTAGTTTAACGCACGCACATACATCCCCGCACGCGCACGCACGCACGCACGCACGCACGCACGCACGCACGCACACACACACACACACACACACACACACACACACTACGGCACCTACCGTGGCCCGTCGTCTGCGATTCGATGACGGTGACGGTGGCGTCTGCTCTGCCGACGCAGCCGCTACGCAGTACGGCGACGCACGTGTACACGCCGCTGTCATGCGCCTCCGCGTCCTGTAGGAGACGCAGCACGCGACGCAGAAACATGGTAGAAATTAAAATAGACGTGGTCAGAGATTTTCAGATGATTTTTTCTCAGTTCTTAAATTTGCGCGATAGGCTTTGATACAGTGAACAATAAGACTGTAATATGACTGTAATAAGACTGTAATAAGACTGTGATATTACTGTAATAAGACTGTAATAAGACTGTGATATTACTGTAATAAGA